GGCTCCTGCTCTGGCCTGGTCAGCAGAACCTCTAGCCAAGAGACGCTGAGACCACATGTCCCCCTCCTCTGCTTGAGAGGAGCTGGCAAATTGTTGCTCAGAAGGGCTGGTTGGCTCAGCTATGTCACCTGGGCCAGGGGACTCCAGACAATGGAGCCAGTGGCCCAAGCTGGACAGGGCACAGACCCAGTCATTTCTCACCACACAATGCCCCCCCCCCCCGCACCCCCCCACCCAGCTGTGCCATGAGCTCACTGCTTCTCCCACCCCACAGGGCTGCAGCTGAGGCTTATGGGGCAAGGGCCAGCTTCTGCCCTGGCCTCTGGGGACAGAAGTTCCCCACCCCCACCCCAGTGCCTGCCAATCTTAGAGGCTGGTCCAGCTGATGCACAATTCCACCCTCCCTCCAACTCCCTAACAAAAGCCTTCATTTGCATATGATATGCATCCATTTATATATGGCTCCCTTTTCATAGAGAGACAGGAAATCCCAGCTGTCCCTTCCCACTTTTCTCTCCTAGGAGAGGCCAAAACATTCTCTTTCTTTTTCCTTTTCTTTTTTGATTTTAGAGAGAAAGGAAGGGGGAGAGAGAATGAGATAGAGAGATAGAGACAGAAACAGTGATTTGTTGTCCCACCTTTTTATGCATTCATTGGTCGAGTCTTGTATGTGCCCTGACCAGGGATGGAACCCATAACCTTGGCCTATAGGGACCACACTCTAACCAACTGAGCTACCCTCCCCCTCCCCCCAGGCCCCACACTGCCCCAGCAGATACTCCTGGCGGCTTGGAGGGCTCAGCTTCCTCCTCCTTTCCTTCCATCCTAGCCCCACTAGGTAAGATCACGGAACCCCAGCAGGTAAGGAGGGCTGGGGCAGACCCATGAGAAAGGTAGGGCAGAAGTCTTGGCCAAGATCCCACTGTCCTTGGATGGTTTCCACCCGTCCCTGCAGAGGAACAAAGCCAGAGAGGAAGAGGGGGAGCTCCAGGCAAGCAAGGCCTAAAGAGACGACCTCAGCAGGGGCTGAGTCCGCTGTCAAACTCCGTCCTCCAGCTCCTCCCAAAGCACTCCCCTTGTCCTCCAGCTCCTCCCAAAGCACTCCCCTTGGCTCCCACCGGAGCAGGCTCTTCGCCCTTCCCGCGGCTGGGTCACGGGGAGAGCTTGTGGTAGCTCTAAGCTTCTGGAGCTCAGCCCATTCCTGACCCCAGCTCTGTGGCCTGGGCTTGACCCTTCATTTCCCAGGCCTCAGTTTCCACGCTGGGGAGAGCGAACAGCTTCCGCTCTGGCAGTGCGACTCAGGAAGGCCCTCCCGGGGGGTGCTTAACATCAGGGTCCTGGCAAAGAGGGATGAGCTGACACCTTCCCTGGCACCTTCCCTGGCGTCCACCTGTCCTAGCCTCCACCTTCCCTGGCCACCAGGCAGACTCTGCTCAGAAGGGCTCCCTCCCACCTTCCTGGCACCACACTGCTGATGCTTGGAGATGCCCATGGGAAAGTCACCCACAGCCTTAGGGAACCAGCCCCCAGGCAGGTCTCTCCCCAGCCAGGCCCCCTTCTCTGTGTTAGCAGAGAGGGAAGAGGGAGCAGAGACTTGCTTTGCAGTCAGACAGACCTGGGTTCAAACCTTAGGCCCAACACTCACTAGATGTGTGTTCTCTGGGCAAGTTACTCCATTTCCCTCATCTTCGAAATGACTGTAAGTGCCTGGCAGGCTCTTTCCTCTCTGCACATCTCAGCGCACCTCCCTGGGGCTCCTGGCCGCTCCCCTCTGCCCACTGGGGAAAATGGGCCAAGTGCTAGGCAACGGGCCCGTGACATCCTCCTGCCTCCCACCCAGGGCTCATTCTATTCCCACGGGGCCGGGAGCAGGCAGGAGAGGGAGGCTGCGTGGTGCCACTGTGGAGCTCTGGTCCAGGAAAGGCAGCGGGTGCTGTCAGCCTGCGCCTGGACCGTGGCAGCTCCGAATCCTGGCG